GCCCGGGCCGCAGTGCGAGGGCGCCCGCTGCGGCGCTCGGGCACCTCTTCCCGCCCTCGGGGGCTGCCCGCTGTGCACACGCAGCAGCGCCCCAGTGCTTTCCAGGCACCGTCACTCAGATGCAACTTCAGTGCAGCGGGAAGAATCCTGCCCCATGGATCAGGCCCTTGGGAGAGCAGTGCATATCCCCCGGCACGCACACCATAGACACAGTCCCGCCAAAGCGCCCGCAGACACAAGGGCCGGCAGACACAACTGTCCTCGCTCAGGAGACATCTGCAAAGCCCCGCAGTGGCACTGGCTGCCATTGGAGCCTGGGCGTTTGCACCATTCCCGCACCCCTTTCTGCACACTGGGTGCTTACAGCAAGGAGCGCTGCCTCTTCGAACACCTCTTTACGCCCAGGCATGAGATTTCACATGCCCCACGCAGACAGGCTCACACCTAAATCCCTCTCAGCACCAAGAGGTGCCGACAGGGCCCGCTTGGCACCCTTCACCTTCCAAACGGCACGCACGCAAATCCCGCCGCTCCCTCGCTCCTGCTCCCCTCGCTCCTGCTTCCCCAGGCATCTACGTGTATCAAAATACCCTCAACAGACACTCAAGAAATAGAGACCTCTTCAAAAGGAAAGCGCACACGAACACACTAGGAGAACACTAACTTTGTTGTCCTGTGCCAGGATGGCCAAAAGAAAAGAGCAGGAGCTAAGGGCACATCCCATAGTACAAAATGTAGCATCTCACTGAGCCCAGAAACGAGGCATGAACATCATAAACCAGCATAAGCAAATGGCAAATGAGAGCTTGTCAGATGAGGGGGGCCTATATACAAGCATAGCAGAAAAAGCAGTGTGATTCAGCTTTATATAAGCACGGCAATAAGCGCCGGCTAAATTAGGCTAGAACTGTCCATGCAATCAATACTCATGGGAACTTAAAGGAGAAAATGTTCAAAAAAAGGGGAAAGGAAAAACAGAGAGGAAAGTCCAAATGCGCTGCCAACACAGATCACCCCTGCCTCTATGGAGCTACTGGTGTGACTTGTTCACTGCACTGCTCACCAGAGATCTCACCTGGGATGGAAAATACTACAAAAATGCCACACAAACTACTGATTCCCCATCCCAGCTTGTTCCCAGCTGTGTGGGGACAAGCTGAGCAAGTCTGATCCGCTTTCCTTATGACAGAACAGGGTAAGAATGTCAACAGAGCAGCACAAGCTGCAAGGGGACTATGTGGTGAAGGGAACGTGTGAAGAAGTATCAGAAAACAGATACTTAATTTGGAAAAGAGAGGACTCCACAACAGCTTCAAGAGTACAGCAGTATCTGATTACCTGAATACTGCAGGTGATGCAAAATTCAGGTTATACATCTGAGAAGCAGAATTAATACAAACAGAAATTAAAATACATTTGTACCTTTGTATGCCTAGGCATACAGTGGAAATTGTGAGATGATTTCAGTGTTAAACAGGCAGATGATTAAGGCCTAAGAGCAGCATGAGTAGGGCCAAGCTGGCAGGGAAGGAACCTTACCAGCTACTCTGGAGAGGCCCCAGGCTGAGAGAGACTGAAGGGAGGAAACCAGCACTGCTATTTTTCCTGGAGGAATCTGGGGTGACAGGGGGAATGAGGAATGATGAGCCGCCCCATGGAGAGGACTCTGATGCACAGAGCCTGCAGGAAGCACCCAGGGAGTATCTCACACTGCCACGGCCCTGGCAGGCTGTGTCCAAGAGCAGTGAGGGCGACCGCCATGAGCTGCTTTTGGCTGCAAGGATTTTCTCCAGAGGATGCTCCACTCGCTGCATCCCGGTTATGTAAAGTCTACTAGCATGGGGAATGTCAGCAAGCAGGGGTTGGGAATGGCCTGGCAGGCTGGTGCTGCTCTCCCAGCAGCAGATGTTTTAATTTTGAACTTTAGCTTTTACGCAGGCCAAGGTGAAGCAGGCCGAGCGCCACGTGACTGCCTGGCACGAGGTCCACATAACCAAATTAACTGATATCTGCAGCACAATGGTGGGTTTGTGCGCTGGAAATGGGCTGCTGCTGACAGAGAACTGCCTGGGTAAGGTGGGTATTTACAGCCTGGTGCGGAAATGTAACATTAATCCCTTCTGACCCAGTGCAAATAGACAAACGGAGCTTCCCCCACCTTGAGAGTAACAGCACAGAGGCCTGGCCCGTCCTTTCTCAAGACAGAAAGGAACAATCTGTACTGGCTGCCCCTCGTCTGCTAGGCCAGATCCTCAAGGAGGGAGACAGGAGTCCTGCAGGCTCATTTTGGAAGTTCAAGAGTCCTCACCTTCCTTTGCAGCCCACTCGTGCAGCTCTCAGGGCTTGCCTCTCTGCACTGCGTAGCCAAGTGCCCTTCCTCGTGAAGGTTATAGAAGGCAACGCTGATCTTGACACGTCCCGCCTTCCAACATGTCTTTTAAAAAAAGTCCCAAAACAAGGTTAGAAAGGACTCCAAGATTAGGCTGGCAGATCTGGAAGCCCCACAATTTCAGTTAGGGGAAACACAAGGCAGACCTGCACAGATAGCAGCACGGGTAGCTCCTGCTACGTACACAACCTTTGCTTGCTGAGGGCTGAAAGCCACCCTGGGGCTGCTGCTGGGGTAAATGGAACCCTTAGAGGTGGCTTTCATAAGGTGCCTTGCTGGGTTTGCCGGTTCCCAGTTCTTCCCATGCCTCATCCAAATGTGGAACAATGACTTCCCATCGCTCTTCATCCAGGACAAAGCAAAACCAGAGCACTAAAGGCAGGTAAAGCTGTAGGCAGCGTCAGCTGTCCGAGAGGTGAGACCTTCCTGCCCCAAAGCAAGGACTGCAAGGACTTGTCTTCTGTTCTTTTACTAGCCCTTCTCCGAGAAAACACATTTTCTGTAGAAGCTTTTTCCCCTCCCCTATCTTTTAATGACTAATCTATTTTTGATGGATTAATTTTTTACTTTTTTTAACTTTTACCATGGAATAATGGTCAACCTTCCAGCAAGATGACTGACTGACAGCATTTTCATGTGGCCTAATACAGGAGCAGCCTGCAAATCATGCCAAGCAAACCTGAAGTCATTTGTTGATAAAACTAAGTGTTTGTTTGTTTGTAGATAAAGAAAATGCAGCACAAGGAGAAATCTAACTAATTTGGAAGGTTTTGACTTTCCCCTTTCTTTTCGGAGGTCTCTATGGTGTTCTCACAAGGAATTGTCAGTGAGGTGGTATCTGCACAGTGCAAAATGCTTATTTAATATTTAGGAGAGACTGGACAGAACAAGCTTACACACACCCATCCTTGTCTTGCCTACCAGGGAAAGACAGGAGACCTTGCCCAGTGTCCTCATTTAAGGAAACAACAGGGATCATTGCAGAGGATTTAGGAAACAGCTTTTACACCGTTGAGGCCAGCAGCAGAGCTCAGACTGCAGAAGTGGCCGCGTTACGTGTCCTGGCCCTGCTCTTTTGCAAGGCCACTGATCCCGCACAGAGACTCGAGTCCTCTCGCTGCCCAGGCCCCAGCTGCATTTACCTCCTCCGTTAGCAAATAGCTATAGGAGACACGGGCGCGTTGAGGAAAATGCCCATGCACACACTCACACACGCAAGCCAGGCAGAGCCAGCCTAACTTTTATGGAATTTAAAACAGGGTATCAGTAACAAGGAAGATATATTATTTTCCAAAGTGGGAAAGAGTAAAGGCAACTGGAAAAGAGATCTTGTTTTCTATATTACAGAAGAGCTTGTAACACAAAAGGGAGAGCCTAGCTCTCTTCTAGCTAAGCAGAGAGCCACCTGCCTCAAACAAAGATGGGCAATTATAGAGATAAATAGGTGGACCTTGCAGACCTCAGAGGAGAGATGTGTCTGGCTCCAAATTTTGACCTCTTGCTGATCTGTTCCCCACGGTATGTTATCCTATCCCTCAGCTAAGCCACTGTAATAGAGCAGGACATAACCAAGACATTCACTCAAAGGGAATTTCATTCAAATTGACAGCTACGCCCCTTATTTGAACACACTCTGTCCAGTTCCCCAGCCTTTCTCCCAGTTGCAGAAAGGGAGAAATGAACCATTCCCAACCATGACCCAGGTGTCCACAGAGCACTTGGGTTATTTGTACAGCTTCCAGGGAGGGGACACAGGGCACCAAGGAACCTTGAAACACTCCTACCTCCAATCGCCCAGCACAGGAGGTCACAAGCATCACTTTTCCCAATCTGGAGGTTCCCTCAGTCAGAGGAGAGATAAAGTAAAGCATCAAGCAGTGCCTTTTCACCTTCAGCCTTCCTCCTTTACTGCAATAACTTGAAGTCTGGTACTGCAAAAGGCCAAAGTGGGAGGTCAGGAGAACAGGGGGTGCCTGTAGATCCTTGCTCGTTCCTCCAGTTGGGGCATGTGATTTGCTGCCTCTCTCTCCAAGCCCACACACTCTAACTCACCACCCCTGCACCCTGATACTCACAGTACCAGCCTCCACACTGAGCTGATCAAAATAAATGCCTGTCTTGTCAGGAGGAATAACAGTTACTGTTAGGCTTCAAGAAAA